ATAATAATAATAATAATAATAATAATAATAATAATAATAATAATAATAATAATAATAATAATAATAATAATAATAATAATAATAATAATAATAATAATAATAATAATAATAATAATAATAATAATAATAATAATAATAATAATAATAATAATAATAATAATAATAATAATAATAATAATAATAATAATAATAATAATAATAATAATAATAATAATAATAATAATAATAATAATAATAATAATAATAATAATAATAATAATAATAATAATAATAATAATAATAATAATAATAATAATAATAATAATAATAATAATAATAATAATAATAATAATAATAATAATAATAATAATAATAATAATAATAATAATAATAATAATAATAATAATAATAATAATAATAATAATAATAATAATAATAATAATAATAATAATAATAATAATAATAATAATAATAATAATAATAATAATAATAATAATAATAATAATAATAATAATAATAATAATAATAATAATAATAATAATAATAATAATAATAATAATAATAATAATAATAATAATAATAATAATAATAATAATAATAATAATAATAATAATAATAATAATAATAATAATAATAATAATAATAATAATAATAATAATAATAATAATAATAATAATAATAATAATAATAATAATAATAATAATAATAATAATAATAATAATAATAATAATAATAATAATAATAATAATAATAATAATAATAATAATAATAATAATAATAATAATAATAATAATAATAATAATAATAATAATAATAATAATAATAATAATAATAATAATAATAATAATAATAATAATAATAATAATAATAATAATAATAATAATAATAATAATAATAATAATAATAATAATAATAATAATAATAATAATAATAATAATAATAATAATAATAATAATAATAATAATAATAATAATAATAATAATAATAATAATAATAATAATAATAATAATAATAATAATAATAATAATAATAATAATAATAATAATAATAATAATAATAATAATAATAATAATAATAATAATAATAATAATAATAATAATAATAATAATAATAATAATAATAATAATAATAATAATAATAATAATAATAATAATAATAATAATAATAATAATAATAATAATAATAATAATAATAATAATAATAATAATAATAATAATAATAATAATAATAATAATAATAATAATAATAATAATAATAATAATAATAATAATAATAATAATAATAATAATAATAATAATAATAATAATAATAATAATAATAATAATAATAATAATAATAATAATAATAATAATAATAATAATAATAATAATAATAATAATAATAATAATAATAATAATAATAATAATAATAATAATAATAATAATAATAATAATAATAATAATAATAATAATAATAATAATAATAATAATAATAATAATAATAATAATAATAATAATAATAATAATAATAATAATAATAATAATAATAATAATAATAATAATAATAATAATAATAATAATAATAATAATAATAATAATAATAATAATAATAATAATAATAATAATAATAATAATAATAATAATAATAATAATAATAATAATAATAATAATAATAATAATAATAATAATAATAATAATAATAATAATAATAATAATAATAATAATAATAATAATAATAATAATAATAATAATAATAATAATAATAATAATAATAATAATAATAATAATAATAATAATAATAATAATAATAATAATAATAATAATAATAATAATAATAATAATAATAATAATAATAATAATAATAATAATAATAATAATAATAATAATAATAATAATAATAATAATAATAATAATAATAATAATAATAATAATAATAATAATAATAATAATAATAATAATAATAATAATAATAATAATAATAATAATAATAATAATAATAATAATAATAATAATAATAATAATAATAATAATAATAATAATAATAATAATAATAATAATAATAATAATAATAATAATAATAATAATAATAATAATAATAATAATAATAATAATAATAATAATAATAATAATAATAATAATAATAATAATAATAATAATAATAATAATAATAATAATAATAATAATAATAATAATAATAATAATAATAATAATAATAATAATAATAATAATAATAATAATAATAATAATAATAATAATAATAATAATAATAATAATAATAATAATAATAATAATAATAATAATAATAATAATGACAATAACAACAACAATAACAACAAAACAACAACAATAATAATAACTAGATCGGATCAGAAAGATTCAGATTAGATTGGAAGGCTTCAGATCCGATCAGACCAGATCAGCAAGATTCAGAACATATAACCATAACGAGGCCGGGTTAAATATTGTGTGCAAGTTGTCATCCATGCCACATGAATACAATGTATGTGCAAACTTCTTTAGGATGGCAAAGGAAAGATTGCAAGATGCACTTGTTCATGATCTCCAGTTAAAGTTGATTTCTGACAAAGTGATGGTCAAATATACAATCTACTTACGATTCGATTTTAGATGTTGTTGCTCTTATTGTTGGAGATGTTGACACTTCATCAAAAAGAGATATAGTAATGGAGATCTGAAGTCATCATACACTTCACCTAAACAGTGAGCTGCATACTATCTTTTTGAGTTATCAGAGTCCTCTTTTATTTCCTTTGGTATGATGGATATATGCATGATGTGCCACATAGAGATACATGTAATTACAATTGTTCCAAAAGGAACTGTCTTACCATAAGACACCGAATTATTTTAGCCCTCTACGACTTGGTCTGCCCCCTAGCCCCCCCGCGACTAGCTTGCAGCAGCCTAACCAACCAAAACCCTGCCTCACCAGCCCCTCTACGACTTGCCCGAGCCCCAACAGCCCCAAACAACCATCATATCTGAGATCGATGAAGCAAGTGAGCAATGACGCCGACAATTCGCAACAAAAGAAGAAGGTAGTCCGCAGTGAAGAAGAAGGGGAAGGTAATATGCACAGTTAGGGGCGGATTTAATAAGGAAGTAAGGAAGCAGCTTCCCCCAATAAAAGTATACTAAATCCTTATATTTTGTTAGAAAATTTTAGAAGGCCTAATATATGCCCCCAATTAAAAAATATGATTGCCCCATATAACCCATTTGTTCCAGCCGGAAGTTGGACAAATCGGGGAAAAGTAAGTGCCACAACCCGACATATAGCTATTGAAGGACCAAGTTACTAGTTGACCAATCAAAGAGAGATGCTAAATTTTTACAACCACTAGCTACCACCGATCTAAGATCAAATCTCACAATTGAAGAAATCCTCCAAGACCCCAATTCTTGAAACTAGAATTACCAATCGAGTATATTTTGTCACTCTAGGTTTAAATAAATGTTTGATCAATTTGATATTGGTCTTCTTGGATATTTTGATTTTTAGGTACATCATACTCGTGCACGTCGTCCCCCGTATATATGTTTTGTTTATTGCTGTATATTAATAAATTTCATAAACTAAAAAAATGTTATTATAATGTTATTAAATTATTAAATTATTGTTGTGGGGATTTGATGCAATTGTTGAAATATATTGAATAGTCATCTTCCAACTATTCATGATCAGGAACACATTATCATCATTGTTAATATAAATAAGAAACCATAATTATGATTTCTAGATGGTAATTGTATGGCTCACAATTAGCCCCTGATCTACACCATGATTACATTCTCCCCTATAAATAGGAGTATTCTCCTTCATTGTAAAGACACCATTATCACTCTCAATAACATAATCTATCACTACGTGTTCATACTATACTTTCTCTCCCTAATCTTCTGCTTATTTCCTTCCATATTATAACACGTTATCAGCACGAATTTGCTCCAAATCCCTGAAATCATCATCTTCCCAGCAGGTATATTATTTCATGAATTTATCAACTTATCTGGAAAAGACAAAATCAGAGGTTGAGAAGTATAAACATATTTATGTATATATTCAAAACTATAAAAAGTATGCTCTATGGTTGCCCAACATTTGGGATCCTCCATATCAGAAAATTATTGCTATATTTTATGTGAAAGAAAATGAAGAAGCCGAAATATTAACTTATTTTGAATCAATATGTTCTTCAAAATTCTATTTTACATATTATATATATATATATATATACCTAAATCTAAAAGGAAAAGATATTCAGGCTGGAATTTTCCCGCTGAGTTATGTCGCTTTCGCATAACGTGAATTTATTTGCTCAGGCTCAACGCAAGCTGAAAAAATTGCATTGTTGGTATAGGTTGGTGGTGCCCACTTTTGGGTTAAAATCTGGAATTAATTTGCCCATGTCCTTATTAAATGAAGCTTTGTTTTGATTGGTGGGGGTGGAGGCACGAACAGTGTATGGAAAAGGCCCATACTGTTCGAACATATTATTGTTGATTACATCCACTCCTATTGGTGTAGATCAGTGGTGCCCACATTTGGGTTAAATCTGAAATTCATTTGCCCATATCCTTTTTAAATTAACCTCTGTTTTGATTGGTGGAGGATGGTGGTACAAACAGTGTATGGAAAAGGCCCATAGTCCCATACTGTTCGAAAATATTTGTGTTGATTACCTCAGCTATAAATGCTTCGTCCCAGCCGCATTGCATTCTCATTCACGCTGGGTTCTCGCTCGAATAGAAAAAATACACATCAAGTAATATATTTATTTCACTATGGTTGGGATGTGGTCAATGATTCGTCATATCGACCAAAGTAAGACAACTTGGGCGATAAAAGCGAGGGCCACGAGAGTGTACCGTGAACCTGCGCACGATGGCTTCCCGCCCTCTTTGGAGGTCGTCTTTCATGACGAGGAGGTCGTAGAATTTTTTAGAATTGTTTCTAAACTTTAGATGTGGCTCCTTTGGTTTATACTGATGCCTGTGCGTTATTTTATTCAGGGCTCAAAGATTCACGCCCACATACCAGATCAATTTGTTGGAAAGTTTTTCGGAATCTTTAGGGAAGGCCGCATCTTCGCGGTTAAAAATTTTATGGTTGAGGAAAATTTAATGTATTTTAAAACTACCACGAGTGCTTATAGGCTGCGTTTCTTTAAGAAAAGTGCAGCTTTCGAAATACAAATTCCATTTCCGTTGCGGACATTTTCTTTGATATCTTTCGCTACGCTACAAGCTCAGGATGTCATTGATGATAAAATAGGAATTGGTGCGATTATAATGCTATCCTTTAATTTGTATGGTTTATAACAAACTAAAATTCTTCGTGACACACTTTTAAAACACGTTTAAAACAGATATTATTGGACAAGTTGTCCATGATAAAGACCCTAAGACCATATTGAAGAATGACCGTCCAAAGAGGTTGATCGAGCTTATCTTGGGAGATACAGAGTTAGCAATTTTTTTTTTTTTGTCTTTGTCTGCATTTTTTTAATTTTTAGGGACCTTGCTTAATTCGTCGAAATGTATTTTTGTTAGAGGGAATGTCATAGGATGCACACTTTGGGGCCCGATGGTGGAAATGCTATCAACGTATAAGTTAACCACTGTTGAGCCTGTTGTTATGCTATTGCAGTGTTGCAAAGTCAGAAGATATCAAGGTATCACCTACAAAAACGTTTTGCCTCCACTGAGTGGTTTTTTTATCCATCCTGACTACTGTATCTGTGTTAGGTCAAGTTCAAGTCTCAAACATGTTCAACACAACAAAAATGATTCTTAACGGGGCCGAAGATGAGTTTAGCGTGTTTAAATCTAGGTATACCACGTTTGTGTGCGAACGGTATTGGACAAAAGCTAATGTTTTTTTTCAAAAAACCATTAGCCTAACTTTTATTATGACAGGATGACCAGGAGGTGCGGTGACGGCCTAAGTTTTACCATTTCATCGGACACGTCTAATGAAGGTGACATTAGCACCGGCGGGATTCAGTTGGTAACTATTGACCAGCTCAATAAGCTGGAAGAGGTATATTTGCAAACAATTTACAAATGATGTTTGACACGTTTGTGTGTTGACCCTTTCTATTTAATTTTTAGGAAGGAAGACATTGGGTTTACGGTGAAATCGTTGGGATTGAAAGTCACAAAGACTGGTCCTACGTGTCATGCATAGGGTGTAATCGAAAAGTGTCACCAAACGGAGACAGCTTTCAGTGTTTGTCGTGCAATACATCCGACGCTGTTCTAAGGTTCACTTCATATGCATTACTCACATATTATGTATTCTAAACTGTTTCAATTCTTTAATGTTTCACAATTTTCACTCAATAGGTATAAGGTTAACGTGAGGGTGGTTGATGGCACTTCGCATGCATCGTTCCTACTATGGGACAGAGAGGTGTCGTGCTTGATTGGGAGATCTGCTTCTTCGCTCAAAGATCAAGTGTCTAAGGTAATATACTAAAACTATGTTTGGTATTTTATATACTTACAACATTACTCCTGAATACTATGCGCGCACACAGCGAAATTTTGGCCCGCATTACTTTCCATCTGAGATTAATGCACTCATGGACATCAAAGCGCTCTTCCGCGTTCACTACAAGAAGGAATCCAGGAACTACAAGGGAAGTCAAAGCTTCAGTGTTCTGAGGATGAACACAGACCCTAGGGTGCTGTCCCTGTATGTTACTGAATCAACCGAGGAAGAGGTTCGTTTTTTACTTGGCAGATTTGGTTTTTGTTTACTATATGTCAATATGATAAGCCTTTTGTCCTATGTTCTAGGAGGAAGATGTGTTCACTGAATTGGAGAAAGAGTTTTCCACCAACGAACATGTGGGAACTTTTTCATAATTTGTTTGACTTTTTTAATCGCATACACACATAGGTCTCTCAGCTAACACGTGACTTATGTGATTCAGGTAGGGTCTTCGCAACCTGTTAGTTCAAACAGTCCTTTGTTAGACAAGGACAAGAGAATTGCATTGGAAATTGATGTGGAGAAAGTGAAGAGAGACCTTCTAGGGGAATTTTCTGGAACAACACCAATGAAAAGGATGAAGGGTATCAAGATCGAGGAGCCAAAACAGTGACAATGTTCTTGGGGTTTGGATTGTATCATTGTGTGTTTTGTGTATGTGTATATGTCAATGGGTAGCATGGAGAACTTATAGTTAGAAGACAAGGCTAGCTATGCATGTTAGTGGCATAAGCTGTTGTCTTTTACACATTTTGAATTTTGTTATTGGTTCCTACACTTCAACCTAAAGTGTGTTCTCCATGTAGCCAAGTTTCCCTAATATATATTAATCTACCTTAATCTAAAAGGAAAAGAAGTTCAGGCTGAAATTTTCCCGCTGAGTTATGTCGCTTTCACAGAACGTGAATGTATTTGATCAGGTTCAACGCAAGATAAAAAAAAACGCATTGTTGGTGTAGATTGGTGGTGCCCACTTTTGGGTTAAATTTGGAATTCATTTGCCCATGTCCTTTTTCAATGAAGCTTTGTTTTGATTGGTGGGGGATGGAGGTACGAACAGTGTATGGAAAAGGGCCATACTATTCGAACATATTATTGTTGATTGCATCCCCTCCTATTGGTGTAGATCGGTGGTGCCCACTTTTGGGTTTAATTTGTATTTCATTTGCCCTGTCTTTTTTAAATGAACCTTTGTTTTGATTGGTGGAGGATGGAGGTACGAACAGTGTATGGAAAAGGCCCATACTGTTCGAACATATTATTGTTGATTACCTCAGCTATAAAAGCGTCGTCCCTGCCCATTGCTTTCTCATTCACGCTTCCTTCTCGCTCAAATAGCAACAATACACATCAAGTAATATACTTATTTCGAGTTAGAAATGATACAATAATGTCAGTTTTGGTTTTATGCATCATATGGAGTCCTTAAATTATGATATTATCTCATAGAGAAGAAAAATATGTATTCTATATTTTGTTATTGACCTTATAAACTCGGTTGTGGAGATGATACTGCCCCATAAACTCACCAATTGAGATCTTATCATTCTTATTCTTCAGTGTTGCAAGGCAAGCTAGAGAGGATTAAGGTTTGTTGTTTTAGTTATGGCTACATTCATTGTATGTAATATTATCTATATACGTTGATGGCGGCAAAGCTGGAGATGTGGTATCTTATTCTTTTTCAGCAGAATCAGCCTTTCAAGATCATATCTGCAGTGAGAAGTTGTACTTGGTGACAATTGATCATCTAAGAAAATGGAAGAGATGTGTGTGTAACTTGACTTTTGAACATATCATTTGGTTAATACACAACTACCAAAACATTCCATAGCTATGATTGAATACATAGATGCATACAGCATGTTGAATCACGTGTAATAGGATCCAAGAGGCCCAATACACGTAAATTCTTTTGAGGAGTGAACATGACCAATAAGATTTGTCGACCAATAAGATTTGTATGTATTTAGATGCTTAAGAGCTATGTGTATAAAAAAGGAATAAATTTATGAATATGCGTTTGTTGGTTTGTGCAAATTAAACACACAAATTGCTTAGCCTTCATGATGAAATAAAAGTTTGCCTTCCCTGAATGAGAGTTTTCATTCATCCACAAAGGTAGTCTTCATGCAAAATTACAAGCACATACAATACTCATGCTAACTGAGATAATAAAGCTACACAAATATGCATGATTATTTTTTAAAAAGACTCTCAACATTAATTTTGACTACTTTCAACTTTGACTGCATTTGTCATAAAAATCAGCTGGAGAATTGGAGAAGAACAAAAAAATGGACTATTATAATGATCACCTTTGTCATAATGATCATTGGATAAGAACAAAAAAATATGGAGAATTTCATCGGATACCATATTAGCAAGGAATTCTGGAAAAAGTTCTCATTCCATTAAGTTGTCTGGAAATGAAGAAGAGAGTATATGTACAGTTACAATCTGAGTTTGTTGTAAACTAGCCGATGGTTAGTTACAAATGGACTATTAACTAATCAGTCAAAGTAAAAAATATTTACAACAAGCTAACTCTAAAAAGATCTGAGTTTGAAAAAATTAAATAAAAATAGGAGAAAATTACCTTTTGAGAGACAAAGGCCTCTGTCGATCTAGAAGGAGAAAACAGAACACGTTTGTGAGGGGGTGGGAGGTCTGGGTTCGGAGACTTGGGCGTCGTTAGAGAGATCCCCATCGGTGACTTTCATCGTCAAATACTCAAATGTACCAAAATCTGGGATTTCGCGTCGTTCCTTTGGCGTCAGCGCGTGGCGGCTGCTGCAGGGCAGTAGCGGACTTCTCAAGGACTGGAGGTCGTTGATGGACGGAGAACTTGGGTTTCTTTTACTACTTCGTCGATTGGAGGTCGCGTCCGCCGGCACTTGCGAACAGATCTCTGACGTTGGCGAGCAAAGAGTTCGACGCAGCTCTACAGATCTTCAATCCAGTGACAATTAGACAATAGAGGCGGCTGGAGGCAAAATAGAGGAAGTCAGCGTTGAAAATTACAGGCGATGGAGATTATCAAAAGCTGGGAGATCCTGAAAAGTGAAGAAGCCGGGGAGAAAACATTTAGAGAGATTTTCAAAAGTGAAGAAGCCAGGGAGAAATGGAGAAAGTGAGGAAGGGAGACAGGGAGGTTCTGGAAAGCAGATCTTTAAAGTTTTGTCATTTTAAATACCAGAGTACTTCATACTATCGTATATCAGAACTAGCTTTCAAGCCCGTGCGATGCACGGGCAGTATGTAATTTAGCTAATTTGAATTTGATTTATTTCGGATCATATGTAATGTGATTTTAAAGAAAAATAAACTTCGTCTAATATAGAGCCTGTTTAATATAATGTGATTTAAAAGAAGTATTCTTTTAAGATTCTATATTAGAATATCTAATAGTTTTAATTTCGTTTTTGAATTTCAATTATATGGTGGTTATAATTTTTATCATTATTTTAATAATTAAGAAAGAATTGTATGAAGATGGAGCAAAATGCAAAGTATTAACACAATTGCAAACCGGGGCTTAGAATCTTAATCATTATCTCTTTCAAAAAAAGAATTTTAATCATTATCTCAACATTGAGTTTAAAAAAAAGAAAATATTACATTTTAGCAAATGGGACACTATTATTACATTTTTATTTTTATCAAATTACTTTGAAGACAAAATTAATAGCAATTTGACTGATTTATCTGTTAAGTGGGCAAAAAACGAATACTTTATCTCTTTAATAGAATGTAATAAAAAATAAACAAGTATAAAAATAATTAAATGATTGTTACTCCGTGAGCCCGTGCTTAAAATTTGGTTATTAATTGTTGTGGTTCCAATTAAAGAATCTAATACTTATCAAATACGTAATGGTTTTTGAAAAAGTTACCAAATTAATTAAGGTTGATTTCTACGGATTTTTGTTTCCATATCAATATGCAATCAAAAATAGAATCTAGCTAATAAAAATAGAAGGTATAAAAATAACTAAATAATTATTATATATAATGACATGGCAGGATTATGTGGCGCTTTGTATGCTCTTAAAAAGTTCCTCTTATATATATATATATATATATATATATATATATATATATTGATTTGTATACGGAATATGTATAATTTTTTTTTGAATACGGAGTATATATCAATCATCAGGTTCCTTATTTTCTCTAATCAAATAATCATTTTACCAATTGAAAAACTAAAATGGTGTATTAGTAATGAAGAGTAATCCCTTTCATAACTCATACCTTACGATGTTTTCTTTTGGTCTGTTTTCAGTTCCAGACCAAATCAGGTCATATTAAATCGGACCAGACCAGACAAGAAAGTTGGGGTTAATTTGTTTGGCAGCAGAAGAAAGGATTGTGAGAGTGAGGGCGGAAGAAATAGGAGGGAGGCTGGGGAAAGGAAGAATTGGAATGAGAAGGAAAAAGAACAGGGGGTTAATGGCTTCAAAATTAGGCTTTCATAAAACGAATGATAAATCTAGAATGAGGTGAGTTTCTTTTATCAAAATCAATACTGAACTAGCAAAGTTGATTTTTATGCTCTGCAATCTTTTTTAGTGGAATTGAATTTATTTCATTTTACGTTCAAACTATATTACACTACATTACATGCTACCTTCTTCTCACTAATTTTGGAAAATGAACGGCAATACAGTTATTAAGGAAAGTGAATTTATATATTTGGTACTGAATTGATGAAATAAAAATAAAATAAATATGATTTAGAGTCACACAAATTTTATGAATTTGATGTAAAACAATCTTAATGATATTTCTCAAAAAGGAAAACAAAGAAATGTTAAAGTGCGGAGGGAGTAATGTAATTATAAAACGTTTCACCTAAAATTACGAGTAATTTTGTTGATATCTTACATGACTAAATATGACGACATAAAATCATTACAAATATAATGTGGATTGCGTTTTGTAGACATGGCCGGATCTAGGGGAGGTCAACATAGGCCTTGGCCCACGCCAAATTTAAAAAAAAAAACTTAATTTTTAGGTAAAAAAAATTCATGTCTTTTTTTTAAAAGTATTCTTCATACCGGTTCATTCTTGTCCAGTGCCCTGACTTCGCCCCTGCGCCATTATGTATAGTTACTTTTTGGGTCACATAACGTATAAACAATACGCAGTACATATCTATGTAACCACTTTTCATATCATAAATAGATAGTTACTTTTGTCATATATTTGGTTTAAAAAAATTAAATTCTAATTTATCTAACAAAAAATTGATAAATATGTACTGCGTTGTGACAAAGGGCATGACTAACCACTTTTCAATCTTTCACATTTGGTCTAACAAATATTGAAAAATGAGGGGAGATTTCTTTTATATTTGTTGAGTACGTATTTATACAATTAATTTCTTAGCTATTTTTGAATTAAGAATTACTATAGATTCTGCCTGTTGAATGTGTTTCGAAAGTTATTGTGCTTAAATGATAGCATTACTTTTCATATACGGACTTAACTAACATTTTGTCACAAATTCATATTTGAGTATTGTTTAATTATGTCATAACACACTTCCACATATTTGCACCCCCTGATTTGCCAATTTACCCGGGCAATTCGTGTAAAAAATGCAATTCGTATAAAAATGCAATTCGTACAAATGCATCCCAAACAATACTCAAATTAATAAGTTGAATCCGAAACATCTCTGACCGTGCGTCGCACGGGTTTGGGAAGAAAAAGAAACCCAAAAAATACATTTTTCATGGACTGAAGTAGATGGCGTGTAGGTTTGGGAAGAATGATTCTACGGAGT